GGGGATAGCGTCGTAAAATAAAGTGTGTAATAATAATAATAAAGTAATTTCGAAGTAAACACATAATATATATCAAATAACTTTATTATATATTACTTTTTTCAAGAAACTCAGTTTATTTCCTAAGTGTGTCAGCAATTCTGGTGAAGAAAAGAGTAAAACATCTCATTTAGGTTAGCTGCATTTTCAGTATTGTTCGAATATATGCCAATTGGTTTGATTGAGGCTACAAGTCAGCTGTCATCAGGAAATTTATACTCATTATGATCGACATTGATATCACACGTTGGTACACGCGCCCATTTATTAAAAAGATATTAGTGTGGATTGTGCGATTTTATAATTTAGCAATAATATATAGATTATAGTGTATACTTTTTAATTCGATATAGTGTCTTCTTAATATTTACGTTTCATGCAGAAGATTTTTATTTTATAATAAGTTTCGTGATTATTTTCATTTAATATACTTCCTATATGTCATATACAAGTTCCGCCACAATTTCATTTATATCATATTTTAAATGATATCGCGCGAGTTGAAGCCGTGCATTCATGCATTCATGGGCGTACCGGGCGGGGGGGGCGGGGGGGGGCGGTAGCCCCCCCAGTTTTTTGGGCAGTCGGGCAATATTCGATCAACAGTCGGGCAATTTTGGTTTGCAATAAAAAAAATTGGACAAATTCTGTCAATTTTGTCTAAAATCAAGTCAATTTTTTGGCAAATTTTGCGATTTTTCGAAAATTTGTATTATGTTCGGAAAAAATTGTATGTCCGGAAAATTTTTTTGACCCCTAAAATGGTACACTGACCGAAAATTTTTTGGCGACGGGGGAGGGGGGGGAGGTCGCCAAAATAATTTTTCCGGAAAAAATTTTTTGGTACTAGTCGGGCAGAATCCCGAAAAGTTGGGCAATTTTCTTTCCGCCCCCCTAATTTTTTCTTTCCGGTACGCCCATGATGCATTGCACGTCTGCTTACGGAACGATCCAATGGGAAAAGCTGATTTTATACTCACTTTATACAGTAGAGCATCTAACATGTCAAATATAATTTAAATGAACGTACAAATGAAAATGCTTAATAGATCACTGTCTATAACGAAAGTGGATATAATTAAATGATTCTATAACTTAGTTAACTATTATTAACATATCAATTTATTATATATTAACTATTTCGACTGTTGGCGAAAGGTAAATACCCTGGATTCCAGAGCCTTCGACAGTAAATAATAAATTGAAATGTCGCGAAGGCTCTGGTTCAACGGGGCGATTCTTTGATTAAGCCGCGCCAATCACAAAACCGAATTAGTGGTTTTAGTACAGATTCTGTACTAAAACCACTAATTCTGTTTTGTGATTGGCGCGGCTTAATCAAAGAATCGCCCCGTTGAACCAGAGCCTTCGCGACATTTCAATTTATTATTTACTGTCGAAGGCTCTGGAATCCGGGGTAAAAGGTAAAAGGCATCCATCCCATAATTTGAGATAAATTACAACTCGTGAGGGACGGACAATTAGCAAAGTGATGACGGGGGGGGGGGCAAAATTTGTTTTCTCATCTCTCGATTTCTTAAATCAGCAGACCTCGAATATCGAGATCATCGAAAAAAACAAATTTAAAAGGAAGACATGCATATACTACATAACTATAAAAAATATTCAGTAAAAATTATACGAGGGAAAGTTCAAAGATTGCTGAAAACGTTTCTCCTAAATGTAGAAATACTACTAAATGTAGAAATACTACTAAATGTAGAAATGCAACTAGAGAGTAGTATTTCCTCATTTCTAAAATATCCTCTCCTTTGCCAAAATATATGTTTCCCACATTTCGTAAAACCTACAATATATTCTCAAAGCCCTGTAAGGACGTGTTTACTAAACTTTACTTTCATTCAATCTGGGCGTATTTCGAGGATCATGGTAAGGGAGTGGTCATTATTTACGGGGAGGGGCGGGGGTGGCAAAAATAAGAATTGAAAACTTTTTTGACCCCCCTCCAGACTGAAGGAAAACTTTTTGTGCCCCCCCCCATAAAAGTAGAAACTTTTCTGACTCCCCCCAGTGTGGATTGAAAAATTAACAGCAATTTAACAGGTGTGCGTTGCTGGTAAAGCTAGATATTAGGACAATCTGTTTAATCTAGTTCATGATTGTTACTACTTTGCAATGCAACATTTGTCCTATCATAATCCTAACCCAATGGCCCGTCTTCATACAGCGAAATGATTTGAACACAGGGCTTTTTTAAGAACTTGTCTGGGGGGTGGGCATCTACAAAAAGGGACCATACTCTACTGAGTGTGTGGAGATGACAGATGGTTTTTTTATGACAAAAAGTTTGGTGTGGTATCGTATGTACTGGGTCTGGGGGTATTCTCCCCCAGAAAATGTTTTGTATTTTTCTCACCCCCTAAGGACTGAAATGTGAGCATTTTCTGAAACAGATTTTTGGATATGCAGCGTTACATTGTGCTTTGATAGACCGAATCTGATCAGTTAAGTGTACTTGCATGGTATGTTTATGTAAATACCACAACTGGGTCACTCAGGAGGTATTTAGGAAGCTTGTTGAACTTAGTGGGCCCGACTCCCACGAGGGGCTACCATGGTTTGCGCCGAACAGGGAAATTTTGAAAATTTCGAGTCTCTAGATTGTTGGAAATGGCATTTTCAGAGTCTTCTTTTTGCTATTTGTGATTATAGAAATCAGAACTCTAGACTTGCATGGTATTTAAGTTCAAAAACTTTTTTGACCCCCCTTTCTCTGCATTAAAACTTTTTTGACCCCCCCTATTTATAAGAGTAAAACGTCCTTTGCCCTCCCATTTACCACCCCCCTCCCCATAAATAACGACCACTCCCTAAAAGGAGATGCGGATCACGTTTCACACTTCCATGCACGTGAGCTAGATAAAACATGTGCAGCTGCTTCGCTTTTCAACATGTAAATACTAGCTATTTGAGGAATGTGTAAATTTAATTTCAATGTCTTTCTTAAACCTTTACCCTATTTTTACGTTTCCGAAACTAATAGTGAGCTTCAGCAAGCGACGTTTTTGTCAACACTGATGTCACTCGAAAATTGGTGACGTGTATCTAATTCTGGCGGCATTTTACATCATAGCCAGAGGCCGTGGAAACATTCCGAAAGTGGAGGGGCATTGGCCAAAAGGGGAATTTTTGTATATGACCAAAATCAAACGATTTTATGTCGTTCATGAGCCGAACGAAAATTTTTGAAAATATGGAGTCTCCATATGTCGGAGATGGTCTTTGCTACTGCAAAAAGGGCACTTTCTTTCCAGCAAGATTTTCGACGAAAAATTTTCCCTATTTGTCGAATTACCACGTTACTAATTACCACGCTACGTATTTCTGGTATTTTTAAATACTATATTGCATATGTCTACTTTTTAATATAATATAATTTCCCCCAATTTTTGCCCGAATTACGTTTATAATTTGCCCGACTTCATTTTGACTGGGGGGGGGGGGCAACCCCTGCCCCCCCCCTCGCCCCGTACGCGTATGTTCGTATGAGTCGCATGAGATCCAGCTTGTATTTTTAAAATAAGCAGCCCTGCTGTGAGACAATATAATTTTTGACTTTTTAGAATTAAAGATGTCTTCGTAAGGCAAGACAACATAATTTTAAAATATTCGGCATCAGTTTTTACATATTTTTATTAAACATTTTTTGACTTCAATTCACTTACTCGTTTACTTATTATTAATATTTAATTTAAACACTACCTGCCAAGATTAGCTTCTTCATTTTGCGGGAGTATTAATTGATGTAAATATTCTAATCTATAATAATAATAATAAATAATAATAATTGAACAAATCATCAGACATCATCAGACATCATGCAGTTTTTTCGACATCTCAACGATTTCTCTCGAAATCTGAATTTATTCTTTATGTGTCCAGCATTCTTTAGTGGAAGTATCGGGTGGCACATTGCGTTCTTCTGCAATTTGTTGCTTGGAAAACCGTTTCCAACGATCAGCCAAACCTACAGAAATAGAAGCAATTAATTATCCGTGTAATGATGCCATTGCTCAACACCAAGGCCCATGTAGGTAGCATGCAATGATGTGTAGCAATGACGATGGATAAATATATATCGTTTCATGGAGTTAGTACACAAAGGTTGACTTTCAGGCGCTGCAATGGCATTAGCTACACCGGTGCCCTTGAAAGTCTTATCTCCTGGGCAATGGCCCTACGACTTGTTTTTGTTCATATTATTTTGCAAAAATTGTTTTGTCTAACGTTTCGGTTTCCTCTACGGAAATCATTTTCAAAGTTTTGAACACACTCTACTGAGTTTAATTGATAATTTATGCACGCACCAGCCTCGTACCCAGGCGCAAATAACTAAAAATAGGCACACTACAGTGTTTTTCCCAAGCACCCCCGCGCGCTCGCTCATCTTAGCCACTGATCTATATAAAAACACTGTAGTGTTGCTACTTTTAGTACGTTATTTGCGCCTGGGTACGAGGCTAGTAATAGTAGTAATAGTTTATTAAAAAAACCCTTGCAGTAGAAACTGAATTACAGGTCATTACAAAAATCTTATTTACAAATATTATTTACAGTATATAAAACTTATACAAAATTATCTGAGAGGTGTACATAATTTATTATAGTTAAAAATGAATGTATAACTAGACAATAGAGTTATTAGGTTCAACGATCACAGTTCAGGTCGCATACTTAATGGTAACGAATTTCTGAAACCGGTCTGTTCGCATCCTGATATTCCTCGCAACATTGTCAGATCTAAGTTTATAACCATGGTTCACTGGTGCTGACCGGCTATGAACAATTGGATAGAGTGGGTTTCCAGGTAGGATTGTCTCCACAAATCTCTTACAGGCGGCGTCCCTCCGTAAGACAAGCGGATCGATACCAGCTAGTTTTAGGGCATCATCATAGGAACAGTTAGGGTATATTATGGCCAGTGCTCGTTTCTGGACCCTTTAAAGATCGTCGCTAAGATTTTGAGGAAGGTTGGCGAAAACGACAGAAGCGTATTCCAATACTGATCTTATAATTGCACAATAAACACATAGGATGTCTGTTGGGGCTACCCCACTCCTCTTAAGCTTCCTCAACGCATATAAACGCCTATTGGATTTCTTAATAATGTATTCACAATGCACAGACCATGTTAAATCACTGGTAACATACACTCCGAGCAGTTTAAATGATGAAACAGATTCCACGCGTGTTGCACCAATGATGATAGGTTGCAAAACACTAGTATTGAAATGAAGAAAGTTAACAATCATATCTTTACACTTGGCAGGATTCAGCTTCATATTGTTCACTTCAGCAAACGAGTGTATATCTGCCACGATATGATTCATCAAGGAAGGGGAATTTCTAGGTACAATTTCCAAAGCGGTAAGATCATCAACGAACTTAGCACGGGGGCCCCACGCAGACAAAAGTTCATTCACCATTACGGCAAAGAGGATTGGGCCAAGCTTAGTACCTTGTGGAATACCACCATTGATATATTGAAGTGTAGATGCATCCGACCCAATACGAACGAACTGAGACCTTTTATATAAATCATTAAACAACTGGGTACCCAAGTACATAAGTGACTTGTTTGTCTTAAAGTCATCAGTGACAAAACGAATTACAAGAAGCTCAGAGAACAACGAACTGTGGATACCGCGAACGAAACTAACAATTAGGCAGAAAACGTTGAAATTCAGTGGTGCAACATTATATAACAGTTTACCACGTGCGACCAGACAATCAACGTCATTAAGCTCCTTTAAAATAAGAGCCTATAAATACTTTTTAGATACTTATATATAAGTTATTTGTTTGTACGACTTTTATATGTGCTTGTTGTACTGATGTCCAATTTAATGTGTAGTTTTAATAGTAAATTTGTAATAAGTAGACGATAACAGTTGAACAGAAAGCCCAGTGTAAGATTAGCATTGCTAAACTGGTTTTTGTATAATTGCACCTTCTTTAAATAAAGTTTATTATTATTATTATTATTATTATTATTATTATTATTATTATTATTATTATTATTATTATTATTATTATTATTATTATTATTATTATTATTATATAAAAAGGCAGCGATCCATCCTAACACAACGTTATGAGTGCCAAGTTTAGATAGTTTATCAAGTAGAATCTTGTGGTCAATCAGATCGAATCCCTTGCGGAAATCAGCAAAGAAAAATCGGAGGGTGCAACCACCCTTGTCAAGGGCCTCGAGGGCTAGATGGAGAATATATACTATAGCCTGTTGCGTAGATTTTCCAGCCATAGCAAATTGTTTGTTATCCAAGTGACTTATAATGGATGGCAGGATTCTCGCTAAGGTGAGACCTTCTATCACTTTAGCAATTTCGCAAGTGAGTGAGATGGGTCTGATACCATTTTCAATGGAGCCCGGTGGAGATTGTTTGGGAAGAGGTGTAACAGTTGCTCTCTTTAATAGAGGAGGCAAATAGGCATCACGTAAGGATGAGTTATAAATATCAGCGATTACTGGCGCTAACTCAAAGGCAAACGTTTTTAGAATTACATTCGGGATTCCATCCGGTCCCGGGGCTTTCCCTGTCTTTAAAGAACAAAGGGATTTATAAACTTCGCCAGTTGAAGCCAAGAGATCATCCGCAATACCAGAATCACCAGCAGAATAGTTAGAAACATCGTCCTGTGAGAGAGGCGTAAAATCTTTTGTGAGATTTACAAAGAAATGATTGATTCTTTCGCATAACGTATTAACGGAATCTACAGTTTCACCATCAATGAGGTGCTCAAACCATTGGTTATTTCTGTCAGTCATACCAGAAAGATTTTTAACCTCTCTCCACCATTTGCTTGCGTCCGTGACTTTTAGGTTTCTAACTTTAG